TAAATTTATTAAAAATGTCTTACTTTTACATCTTTCTGTTTTGAAGAAGAACGGTAATTTCCTTAAAAATACTAATGATGAGTGTAATATGAAGACGATAACCAGAAAAAGAGAATGTCTGGCACTTTACTGATTGGTAACAATATAAACAGTCTTGTCTCTTTGTGCAAATATCTCTATTGAAGACAGAGATGTGGAAATGTTGGGAAATAGGAGGAGGTTCCTGGTAACTGGCTAGATTAAAGGTTGAGTAAGTAAAGATCATTTTATGTCATCAATCATTTGACCTAAGACTCATGTTGTTGTTCTTGTTGTTGTTGAGTAATATCAAATTAGAACTGACTCATAGCTGACCCTCCAGCAGATTTTCAGAGGCAGTTTAATTGCATAAGAGGAGATTGCTCATCCTTCTCCAGTGAAGCAGCTGTTGGATCCAAACTACACGCCTTTGGGATTATAGCACAACTTCTTTACCATTTGACCACCAAGTTTGCTAGAAGCATAACTAGCAAATAGGGTGGTTAAGGTCTGTGAAAGTTCTAAATATTTTAAATAGTAAAAATGGTAAGACTTAATCTGGAAATACTAAACCGTATTAAAATGACTTTATAGAATTTATAACAGGTGAGAATCAAAACAATTACAGTAAATTTGTTCTTTATATCTGTCATTCGGCTATTCCTGAAATGTGTAAAGTTGATTTTATTGTTGTAGTTTTCTATCATTTTTAGTATTTCCTGACTTACTGACCTTAGTTTGGGATGTATAATATAATACAAGCTATCTCTGTATATGTAAGTGTGTCTCTTTTCATCATTTTGACCATGAATAAAGAGTAAGATGCTTAAGGCCAATATTAGAAGACAACTGAAAAAAGAAGACAACAGAAAAAAAAGAATGGATAATAGAATAATTTGGAATAGACATTATTGATCTTTCTTACCTGCTACATTTTCCTGTACTTAAACTGATCCATCTTTCCTTTCAAAGAAAAAAAATAATTAAGCATTTTTATCTTCCTTGTTGAATTGCTTTTAGTTATAAATGCAAATCATTTTTTTTTAAAAGTATAAAGACTGTCATTAAAATGTAGATTATCCCCAGAGGTACGCAGTTCCAATCTACCAGATGCTCTGCTGGAGAAAGAGGGGCAATCTCCTCTTGTACAGTCAGATGCGATTTGATGGTACACACACAAAAAAATAATAAAACAGTAAAAATCTTTAAAAAATGTAGATTATCAGAGTTAAAAACTCTTACTCTTAAAACTTCACATTAGTGAATTCATAGTACACAGCACGGAACAGACAACTTTTATTAATAATTTATATCATTAACAATTTTAAAAATCAGTAATCAAGTCTTTCTCATTAAGGCATTGTAAAACAATTAAAATATAGAAGTTTCGTGTCTTATCTATAATTATACTAACTTACAGATTCCTTTTCAGTGCTGTAAAACATGACATGACCAACAAGCACTGAAAGAAGTTCAGGTGGCCTGGTGGTAAGAAGTTGTGCTGTAATTTCAAAAGCACATGGTTCAAATGCACTAGCTACTCTGTGGGAGAAATTTTGGCAATCTCCTCCCATGCAATTCACTGTCTCTGAAAACCGGTTGGAAAGCCAGCTATAAATAAGTTCTGACTCAATGGCATGCAACAACAAAAAACACTAGAAATGCTCTGACTCAATTGCTAGATAGAATTTTCGAGATAGTTGAATGTGAGGGGGGGGAAAAAGAGAGGGAAAAGTAGTTTTAATAACTCAATAACTTCACATACCAATACACAGTCACAAAATCTAAGGCAATCATATTCTATATATGTCTGCTTTGGAAATAATTCGTCACAAGTAATTTATTTTGGGAGCTTTTCATAGTTAGAAATGTTCTTTGTCTGATTTAGTTCTTATTCATCTATATTTATTTCCATAGTAAATATTTTGTTTCTTATCAGCTAAATAAAACATGTGAAGCACTATCAAAGATGTTAAATGTTACAGTGACTAACATACAAGAAATATGATAAATGTTAACAGTTGTTAGTATGTAAGCACTATTTCTAAAATGTTTGAATAGTAGATATTATTTAACTAAATTGATCATTAAAATAGTATAGAGATGATTACACATAAGATTATCATCTAGATCACCATATGAGGAGCGATCTAAGTGTTTTCTTCCTACAAATCAGAAGTATATTAATCTCCTATGGAATGTTTAATTTAGAAAAACTTACAGCAAATTTACAATGGAGACATTGAGAGGTTGCATTAATTATTCAATTCTTCAAATGAAGAAGAATGCAGGAATAAAATAATGATCTGAACTGATATCTACTTTGGATATTTGCAATCCATTTTTGCTCTTTTACCTACCATCTCCCACAACCACTTTTTAAAGATATCAGCTATGTCACAAACTTCTAATCATTTGAAGGGGGGGTGGGGGAATCAATAGTTATTGCTTCTGGTGAGGTGGTCTCTGATTTTATCTGCATTATCCCCCTATAGCCTCCATACATTCAGAAGATGTAAATCTGTCCCATTCTTACCTGCAAGACCATGAACTGAGAATCTTTGCTGTTATTAGTGGTCATGTCTGATCACAGGAAGATGGTGTACCTCATGAGAAAGCATTACATTTCTCCCAATACGTCCTCCACTTCACACACAAACGCACGTATCCAAGGCTGTACTAATTATGTGAGGATATATTTGAGTGCTTTTATTCTTGAAAAACAATGGGATGTGACTATATTTCAATTACTCTCCTTGTTCTGAGCTATTATCTTGATCTTTCCACCCCTCCGGAGACTTCTGTTTTCTTCTCATAGGAGACTATCAAAAAGCAGTTTGACTTTGTCAAAATTCTCTCAGGAATTTCCATGGACAAGTGTCTCCCTAACTATTTTTTAGGTAAATGCAAGCATTTAGAAGGTAAAAAGGTAAAAGTGAAAAGGCAAAATAAATAACAGTTACATATAAGGAATGATTTGGTTTTATAAGAACTGCTCCCACAGACTATGAACACAGTACAATATAAACTCAGGTGAAAAGTATTATCACAATCAATTGCTTGACTAACCTTAACTGTTAATACAAAACATTCATATTTTTATTTTTGTTTGAAATAATAAAGTTATTTATAAAAATAGCTAGGAAATTAACTTTACAATAATACAGCTACTATTTCCTCCAGCACTTGTCTGTCAGATGCTATCCTACAGCAGAGCTCCCACATTACAACAGGCTAGAAAGGAGGATTGATCAGTGTCTTCTGAAATAACAGACCTTCAGGAACCCTATGAACAATAAAGCACAATTACACAGTTAGAGAATTAGATATAGCTCTGGAGGTAGAGCTCTCACATTAGAAAACACTAAAATATGAGAAGGAATAGCTGGCACCTATGAAGTAGAAATACAGGAAAACTGGACTTTGTAAAAAAGTAAAATGGAGCACATAACAATTTGACATATTTGTCATTGTTGTTGTTAGATGCTGTTGAGTCGAGTACAACTCACCTACGAACAAATCATTTAAACACTATTCTACCCTGTGCCATCTTCACAATCTCTGACACATTCAAGCTCATTGTTGCAGTCACTATGGCATTCCACCTGGTTGAGGATCTTCCTTTCTTCTGCTGCCCCTCCACCTTTCCACGCTTGATGTTCCTCTCCAAGGATTAACATCTCCTTGTAACATGCCCAAATATGTGAAATGGAGCTTCATCATCTTCGCCTCCAAGGAACACTCTGGTTGCATCTTCTCTGAGACCTATCTGTTTATTCTTTTGACAGCCCAGGGGATCTTGAGCACTCTTTTCCAACATAACAATTCCAAGACATCAGTTTTTTTCTTCTGTCATTGATAGTCATGGTTTCAATTAGGCACAGTTTAGTCTTCAAATTGACAGACATTATTGCTTCTCTGTACTTTGACAAGCGCTTCCACAGCATAATTTCCCAATGCGATGCTTTTTTTTATTTCTTAACTGCTGATTCCAAGAGTACTGAGGGTCTAAGCAAGATAAGATTGTTGACAATTTCAATTGTTTCTCCATCTAACTATTGGCCTGGTTGTAAGAAATTTTGTCTTCTTGATGTTGAGATATACTACATATTGGATGCTCTAGTCTTTGCTCTTCTGCTGTAAGCATTTCAAGTTGTCCTCCATTTTAGCAAGCAATATTGTGCCACCTGCATAAAGCAGATTATTGATGAGACTCCCTCTGATCTTGATGTAACATTCTTCTTCATGTAGTCCAGCTTCTTAAATAATTTTCTCAGTTTACAGACTGAATAAGGATGGAGAAAGATACGGCCTTGATACAAACCATTATTGACTTTAAACCATGTGGTTTTCCCTTGCTTTGTTCAGACAACAGCTTCTTGGTCTATATGTAGGTTTTTTATGGGTATGTTTAGATGTTCTGGGATTCCTATTCTTCTTAATGTTAACCACAGTATTTTACAATCCACACAATCAAATGCCTTTGAATAGTCAATAAAACACAAAAATATGTTCTTTTGGTATTCTCTGTTTTCTTCCAAGATCCATCTGACATCTGCAATGATATCTCTGGTGCCACAATCAGCTTATCTTCTGGAAGTTCTTTGTCAATGTATTGATTTAGTTGTTTTTTTTAAAAAAAATAATCTCAGGAATATTTTGCTTGTATGTGATATTAATGATGTCAATAATTTCCACATTCTTTTGGATCACCTTTTTTTTTTTTCAGGTTCCAGAGATGGCATTTAATTGGCTAGTGTGATACACACCACAGGCATAGACACAAATGGGAGTCCCTCTTTCAACAACATCTTCATATCAACTATAGGCTTCGGAGCATGTGGAGGCCCTTTCTTCTTAGGGAGACCACCAGGCTACACAGGGACCACAGGCTACACAGGCTCTGGGCAGAGCCCAGGGACTACCCAAGATGCAGGATCTTCAGTGGGAGAAGGGCAAAAGGGCTCTGAATAATCTTCAGCTCACACAGCACCATGCAAATACAGAGCGAGGAACTTCTTGAATGTTTCTGGCTGGTAACCAACTGGCCCTACAGGTTCCACCATCACTTTCTTCTTGATCACTGGGCGACACCAAAAATGCTCATAGAGGAGCTGGTCTGAGTCCACCCAGACCAGATTCTTGACACCTGCATCCGAGGCCAGGTCGGTGGTGTTCAGCTGGAACACCAGGAACTGAAAAAGGCGGCCATCAGTGCCCACACTCTGCACAGTCACTGGCTGCTCCAAAACCTTGGGATCATCC